GCAGGTAATGACCACTCAGTAAACAGCTGCTAAGATTAAGAGCTAGAAAAGTAACTCACACCCATGATCTGATCGGGAGCTAACAGCAGAGAACAAGGTATGAACCTGGGCGGCACAAACTAATGAATCCATCAATAAGCCCAGCAGGAGTGCAGACCCATGGGAATCTGGGAGACTGGAACAGTGGAGCGGGGAGGTGGATTTCAACCAGACTCTGGATGAAGAAAGGTGTCCTTGGAGGTTTGGGAGGGAATTCTTATGCTGAGTGCCTACAGGGTACCCATCCTGGGGAACCAGGAGGAAGGCAAGAGGTTTCAGTGACACAAAGGGACCTGCGATCAGCAGACAGGCAGCTGTAACAGTGCAAGGTGGAGTGGGAAGGCCAAGAAGGGGGCCCCAGCGCAGCTGGGAGAGACAAAGCTTTCCCAGGGAAAACGGCATCTGAGCTGGGTACTAAAGGGAAAGGGCAAGAGGCCTGGCCATGGGAGCGAGGGAAGTAGGTGGAGGACAGGAAATTGGTTCATGACGGAGGAGCCACAGGAGGCGGGTAAATGAGCCGGCTTTGTGTGGGAGGAAACCCCCAGCTTCTGAAGATTTCTTAGGGGAGAGAGTTCAGCGACAGGGTAAGCACAGTAGTCCGGGACCGGGAGACTAGAGGTGACGTGCCAAATGGATCACGGGCACTGGAGGGGATTCTGGCATGAGAGAGACCAGCTAAGGGGCCCCTGAACTCTGGCCTGAGATGTTCAAGGGTAGGAGAGGTGGAGACACTCAGGGAAAAGTCAGTGTGACAGAAAAGGAGGAAACCTGCTACTGAGTAAGTGAGGGCAGCTGCCCAGGAGGAGACGGCCAGTCTCAGACATGCTGAGTTTGGAGTGTCACTGGGCACCCAAAGAGCCAGGACTTTAGCTGGACCCCAGAGGGGGAGCAGCCTGAGAAGCTAAACATGGGGCCTCACAAAATGCCCCAGAAAAGAAGGAAGAGGGGTCAGAAAAGGAGGAGGAAAATGGAGAAATAAGAACAAAGCCAGGAGGGAGGGGTGCCCCAGAAATCACAGCAGAGAAGGCTGCAAAGAGGCTGCATGCACACGGGGGCCCACTTCCCGGGCAGATGGACAAGGTGGACAAAAGCAGTGTTTGGAAACAAGACTTTCAGGGAATCAGTTTCAGCAAAGTGGAGGGGCCGGCAGCAGGGCTGCAGAGGATTGAGAGGGGTGGCTGGAGCCGAGAGGCAGGCAGCAGGTGCAAAGCACTGGCTGGGAAAATGTGACGGAGAGAAAAGAGGAAAGGAAGCTATGGCTCCCACGCATGTCTACCCTCCCCCCCCAAAAGATGGGAGGCCAGAATATATCAGAGGAGGACATGAAGACCTGGTTAAGGCCATACTCTCTCAAGGTGTGGGGTGGGGAGGGGCAGAGACTGGACTTAAGCCCTGGCTTTGCCAATGCTCTTACCAGGGTGGCCAGGGACACCCCCTGACTCCTCCAGCCCTCTGACTGCTGGGAGAACAAAGGTTCCTGCGCGGCCTCACGGATAACCTGACCATTCACATGAATGGCCCTGGCCTTGGACCTCCCTGAGGATGGGCTTCCTCCTGCCCCATCACACCTCTCCTCCCCGCAACCTCTGGGAGGGGGGCTAACAGAGCACCCAGGTGGGAAAGGCCTCTGAGCAGCCAGGCAGCGGGGGTCAAAATTCCCAGACTTCCCAGCGGGCCCCCCCGCAGCCCAAGAAAGGAGGCTTCCACCCTAAGAGCCCTTGGTGCCATGGGCAGCGTTGTGAGCCCGGCGCCTCCGGGCCGACGCGCACAGGACAGGTTCCAACACCACCTCCAAGCCTTCTGCCGGGGAAGCGCAGGGGGGCCCGACTGCCGGGAGGGGGTTGCGGGAGGGCTGCAAGGCAAGCCGGGGCCTGATTCTCAGGCTGGAAGAGGCGGGCAGGGAGAACGGAGGAAGCCGGTGTGGCCAGTGAGCACGCCCTCCGCCGCGCGCCCACGCGCTCCTGGGCACCCAACC